AAAGGACAGGCAGGGACAGAGGAAGGATGGGTGCCTGGCTTGCTTTGGTCCTACACCCAGACAGGTCAGCCCAGGCAGTGCCCCACTTCACCCCAGCCTCTCCCTGCAGGAGCTGCCTGAGAATGAGCTTCTGCACCCACCCCTGAGCATCTGCGTGGTGGACTGGAGAGCCTTTGGGAGGAGCACCCTTGTGGGCACCTACACCATCAACTGCTTGAAACAGTTTTTGTGTAAATCCAGGGAGCCCCTTGCCCTCACCTCACAGGTGGATGGAGCCCAAGTTGTGCAAGGTAGGAAGCTCCTTCTAGATTCTAGTGCTGTGGGCTACAAAACCGTGGTGCCTGCAGGATCTTTCTGAAGAATTTCCTGCGGTCCCCTCTACTTCTTTTATTTTTTTATTTTTTTATTTTTTATTTTTGGCTGCGTTGGGTCTTTGTTGCTGTGCGGGGCTTTTCTCTAGTTGCGGCAAGCAGGGGCTACTCTTCATTGTGGTGAGCGGGCTTCTCATTGCGGTGGCTTCTCTTGTTGCGGAGCACAGGCTCTAGGTATGTGGGCTTCAGTAGTTGTGGCACATAGGCTCAGCAGTTGTGGCTCACGGGCTTAGTTGCTCCGCGGCTTGTGGGATCTTCCCGGACCAGGGCTCGAACCCGTGTCCCCTGCGTTGGCAGGCAGATTCTTAACCACTGTGCCACCAGGGAAGCCCCCCATCTACTTCTTAGCTGCCTCGTTCTGACTTTAAGCTTGACATCAGTGTCAATTCCTCCAAGAAGTCTTCTTTGAATGTGACTTAAGCTCCCTCCTGCCCCTATACCCTGACATTTTTCTTTGCTTGATGTTACTGTAATTTCTTCTGTTTTGGATTTCAGGTGCAGAGTCGAGTTAATTACGCTTCTCACTTCACGCTGTACAATCATCACTCGTCTGTGCAAGGCTTCTGTCTCATTATATCCACTGCCGCCCATGCCTTATTCCCAGTCTCCTCCCCACTGCGGGCCCCGCCTCTGCTGATGCTTGTAAAATTTAAATCTAAATTTAAATCTGCTGTGGGTACTTTCCCTTCTTACCATGACCTGCTGCATCTACCCTACTTTGCTTTTGTTTTCCCCTCACATTGGACCACTGGGCTGTCTCCAACTCCCCAATTCCACAAAAAATGTTGTGATGAACATGCTGTGTGTGTTTGCTGAGGGAGAATCCTGTGTGGGATTTTCTTTGGCATATACACCCAGGAGTGAGATTACTGGCTCGCAAGGAATGTGTACATGTAATTTCATTAAGTACTTCCCTTGGGTGCTCCAGAGAGCTGTACTGATTTGCACCAGTCTATACCAGTCTACACCAGTCTATATCAGTCTACACCAGTCTATACCAGTCTACACCAGTCTACACCAGTCTACACCAGTCTATACCAGTCTACACCAGTCTGTATTCCCGCCATTACTGCTCTAAAGTCCCATTTCCCTCCTCCTCAACAGCACCTGCTATTATCCAGCTTTCTGAGTTTTTGTTTCATTTTGTTTGGTGTTTGGTGTTTGCCACTCAGATGGATAGAAAGTCGTATCTAATTTTAATTTTAGCTTGGATTTCTCTGAGTACTACTGAGTTTGCACATTTCTTCATATGCTTGTTGCCACCTTGATTTTCCCTACTGTGATTTTCCTGCTCATACACTTTGCCCATGTTTTATGTGTTTCCTTTAATTTTCTTTTTTGTATATTTTAGATGTTAATATCCTGTAGATTATTGATACTGGTCATATCTTCCCCTAATCTGATAACTGCTAATCTTGTCTATACTTCTCACCTTTGAGCAGAAATTCTTAATTTTGATGTAATCATATCCATCTGAATTTTAAACTTTATGGTTTATTCTTTTAGACTCTTGTTTAAGAAACCCTCTCTCACCCCTTGGTCACAAAGATCTTATATTTTCATGTGTCAGTGTTATGTTTTTATATTTTACACTTAGATCTTTAATCGAAGTAAAGATCTTTAAAGGGTTTAAGGTAGGGATCCAGCTACGTTTATCTCCATAGAGTACATCATTTTCTTTCCCCCAGAGTCTACTAACTTTCCCCATTGATTTGTCCTGTCATCTTTTTCATAAATCAAATTGGCATACGCCCCCAAGTCCATTTCTAAGCTTTCTATTCTGTCCCACTGATCTCTCCATCTCTGTGCCCAGGACAGAGTAGGTGCCTATTAAGTGTTTGTTGGGTTGAATTTGCTATTGAAAAGTCAGCAGTAACATGAAGGCCATGGCAGAAATGGAAGCTCCTGATTGGGCAGTGCTCCTCAGTACTGAATTCTACAGCACAAATGGAGAAAAGAGGACCCGTGACATGGACCAGCTGTTCAGTTAAAAATCTCATAAAGTCCAGGGACATAGCCTTGCTCCCTCTCGTGCACATGGACTCGGGTGCCCAGAGTTCTGCCAATGCTTGGGGAGTACACAGACTGCTGCAGCCTCCAAGGTTTCCCCTGGTTAACACACTGGGGGAAGGCAATCAACACAGAGGACCTGTGTCCTAAACCTTGATAAACACGATTCCTATGACCACAGTTATTTAAAACTACTCTGAGGAATCAATAATAAGTACAGTCATTTGTTGAGTACCTATTATGCCCCAGACACCTTACATCATGAGGTCTTTTATCTCCCAATAACATGGGTATTTTTACTCTCATTTTATAAATATGGAAAGTGAGGTTCGGAGATGTTAGAAACTTGTCATATTTGAATCCAGATCTCTGTCTGATTCCCAATATGAGGTCCCTGAAATGATCACCCTGTATTGTAGCCCAGTTGCCTGACCCAATGTACTTTCTTTTTTTAAGAAAAAACTTATTTGTTTATTTATGGCTGCCTTGGGTCTTTGTTGCTGCGCACGGGCTTTCTCTAGTTGCGGTGAGCAGGGGCTACTCTTCTTTGCGGTGAGCGGGCTTCTCATTGCGGTGGCTTCTCTTGTTGCAGAGCACAGGCTGTAGGTGCGTGGGCTTTAGTAGTTGTGGCGCACCGTCTTAGTTGCTCCGTGGCATGTGGGATCTTTGCGGACCAGAGCTCGAACCCGCGTCCCCTGCATTGGCAGGCAGATTCTTAACCACTGTACCACCAGGGAAGTCCTGACCCGATGTAATTTCATTTTGGCTATTTCAGATTCATTAATTTCCACTGAGCCTTCTGAGACCCCCAGCTCTGCTCAGGAGCTCCCAAGAGATCAAATCTTTGTGGACATTGGGCCGCCTCCCACAGTGGTACCCGACTTGGCCCAGGTTCAGGCAGCCAGCCTGGTTGATATCCCTGACCCATCCCCTATGCTGGAGACGGAACACAAACCTGCAGCCCAGGCGCCACCAAAAGGCGGAAAAGCTAAGGTTGGAATGTCATCCCTCTTCATATTTACAAGGCACATTAGAGTTTGCTCGGAGGTTTTAGGTACTAATCCTCCCACCTACTAGCTGTGTGACCATGGCAAGCAACTCCACATTTCTGAACATTAGTTTCTTCATCTGTAAAATGGGGACACCAATACCCACTTCACAGCATTGTCATAGAATCAGATAAGTCAGTGTATGTGAAATTAAAGTGCTAGTCAAATGTGACAGCAGTATTTAATTGAACAGAAACTCTTAATTCACTAGCTTGGAAAAACAGTGGTTTCCTCATCAAGGCTTATTCCACAAAAAACCTACTTTGTACAACATCACGTGGGACCAAAAAGATGCGTCTTCTGGTCTAAATAAAAGTGAGACTTATCCTCCGTTAGCTGAGATTCTGGGAGGGGAGATGGATAAGTACACAAGACCATAAAATGGGGACATGAGTAATCTTTTAAGTCATAGTTTTAAGTGCAAAATCCTGGTGTATCTAGCAACTGACTTAAAGAAGAAAGCACGTTTAAGAAAGTCCTAAGAGATGACCTGCCCAGCAAAATTGTAAAAGCTGAAATAAAAGGCACAGTATGGTAGATGAATGGCTATTTTCTCAGGCTCTTCCCATCTCATCCAGGCTCAGCGTGACTCTCTGACAGCCCACGGGGTTCTCTCCATCCCACCAGCATTGTACCTGCCACTTTATGTTGCAAATTTCAGTTTAAGTGTTTGTTGCCACCATAAAACTGTGGGCTTCACCAGGTCAAAGATGATTTTTTTTTTTTTTTTTTTTGCGGTATGCAGGCCTCTCACTGTTGTGGCCTCTCCCGTTGCGGAGCACAGGCTCCGGACGCGCAGGCTCAGCGGCCATGGCTCACGGGCCCAGCTGCTCTGCGGCATGTGGGATCTTCCCGGACCGGGGCACGAACCCGTGTCCCCTGCATCGGCAGGCGGACTCTCAACCACTGCGCCACCTGGGAAGCCCTCAAAGATGATTTTTAAAAATATCTCTGTATCCCCTGCACTTGATAGAGTGGCTGGCACATCGTAGATACCCGAGAGAGGTCTGAGAGCAAATGGATGATAAGTACACGATAAATTTGGCATGACACAACTCTCTCCCCAAATGCTTCCCTTCTGCCACGTATGCATCACACTGCTTCTCCTATCCCCCATCACTTACGTTGTAGGTGTCATTTATTTGCACCTGTTCAAATCAGAAGTGATGCTAAAGGGGGATTGTCTACCCATGTCACTTAATCCTCATGACAGTGAAGTGAGCAGGTATTATTGTTCCTAGTTGAGGAAACTGAGAATCATAAAATTTCTGTTTTTGTTTATATTACGTTTAGAGGCTAATTCCTTTTCTACTATATCACATTGTATCATGTAGCCTGCTTGTCTCCTCCGCTGAATTCGAAGCTTCCCAAAAGCAGGGATGATGTCTACCCCTTACATCCCCAGTGTCAACCACAAAATCTCATACCTGCTTGATAAATGTCAAATAAACTCATTAATGGATGACAGATTATTAAACTTTTATTTATTTAAGAGGGACAGAGAGCTGCAATCACAAAACCTGCTGACACCTCCATCCACTTCCCCGAGGGTACCTACATGTCCTCTTCCTTAGTAAACCACTTAGCCACCAGCATGCAGATCCTTGACACCTAACAATCCATCCTTCATCCCTTGCCAGGATTCCAGGAAACCTTCTCGGAAGTCTACTAAAAGGAGAACGAGGACCATAGCGGATGAATCTGCTGAAAACGTCATTGACTGGTGGTCGAAATATTATGCCTCCCTGAAGAAAGCACAGAAGGTAGATTCTCTCCTGGCTGTGACAGTCAAGGCTTCGATAAGAGCACAGCACCATTTACCACCCTCCCCCACCCCAAATACTGCATTGTCCCCTCTTTTAAATTCCGCTATAGGTAGGCCCTACTTGGGTGTGGTTCTGCTAACTGCTGAAGGGTTCAAAGACTGAAAGGACCAAGGGTCCAGAACTGCCAAATCCTCACTGTCTGGCTGGAGCTGGCCCTAGGACACAGACTCTGCTGTAAATGCTGGCAGGATGTGCAGTCTATCATGGCATCCAGGGAATCTGCCCACCTCAGGGAGGTCTAGCCAAGAGAAATGGGTCTCTGGACAGGTGGGCATCAGCGAAGGGGGCTTCAGGTTCTCCTGGAGATTCCAGGTCAAAGGGCTCCAGGTCTCCAGCAGATTTCTAAGTTCATATGGGAAATTATCAAAGTAAAGGCAGAGGTCTTGGCCTTAGCAAATGGGAATAATCAGCAAGGCCTCATGCACATGGAATAAGAAAGGGATTGAGTTATAAGGCCAGAGAACCAGTGGCGAGTGGGTCTGGAGGCTCAGGCAAGAGCTCAGTGGCTGAATCTGGTAAGACTTCTCATCCCTGAGTAAAAATGGAATGGAAAGTTATTCAGATGTTATCATCATATTTTACTGGGTAGCAACTCTTCTGATTCTTTATTTGGAAAGACCATAATTTCTTTATCTAGGACTATCCATGAATATTGACATATAGTTAAATAAACAAACTAAGTGTTAATCCCTGCTTCCAAACACCCTCGTTTTACTACAATGGACACTACCACTTCTGCTGAGTGTTCAGCCCTTTCCTCTTTCTCTGCTAACCTCCCCAGTCCCAGGACAAACCCAACAACCCAACATGCCAGCCCATAAAACTCATAGTTGCAGATTGAGGTGATACTCCAGGGATGTGGAAGAACAGTGGGGAGAGGGGTTGCTTTCCCAGCAGCTGAGAGGAGGCTGCACATAGAGGACGAGGACGTCTACAGTTTGGTGGCACTGGTTTTGGAGGTGTGGGCACCTCTTCTTTAGGGCAGGGCATCTCCCTGCACCTAAGTCCTAGGTCTTTACAGTGAGGCTTCATCTGGGGGCTACTGAGGACTGTTTGCATATTCTTTTAAAATGCAGAGGGCTGAGATAATTGAATTAGAACTGTTAGCAGTCAGGGTTAATAAATGAGACAAGACAGTGTCCATCATCTCGTCTCCCTCTTTTCTCAAAGGAAAAGGAGAGCAATTCCAAGGAGCAAACAGGCAACACAGGTGAGTGGCTCTTCTGGGGACATTGGAACATGCATTAAGGCTATGTGAGTGAGAAAATGATAAAATGGGAGCCATGGGCGCAACACTGGAGCCCAAAGCCCTCATTTCCCTAGTGAGGAAATAATCCCAGGAAGATGACAACACTTGAAAGAGGTCCCATAGCTGATTTGAGCTGGATGGAGACCAGATCCCAGGTCTGAGTTCAGTTGAGTGCTGAAATCGACCTTTGGCTCAAGTCCCTATGTTGACAGTCTTAATGCAGAAACAGCAGAGTAAAAATAGGAGCAAGCTGGGATGACAGGCCAAAGCCAGCATGATAAACTTTAATACAGGTGACCTGGATTTAGCTCCCAAAACTCAGTTGACAAGGTTTGGGTAGATCTGGTTTGGCAGAAGCTCAAATGAAGAGCCCTGGGATTTGAAATGACCACAAACTTGATGTAAGCCAACGGTAGGTCTTGGCCTAAAAACAACAGTAACACCAAGTGCTGTTTCAGGTGGCACAAAAAGTGAGAAAACCAGAGCCAAGCTCAGTTCCTCAGGCCACTCCTATTAGCATATTTAATTCTAAGACCAACCCCATGACATAAGCAATAGTATCTTGATTTGCAGATAGTAAAACAAAAGTAAGTAAGTACAAAGAGGCTGAGTAACTTGCCCAGGTTTATGCAGCTAGAAAACAGTGGAGCTTGGGTGATTTTTCTCCAGCATCTGCTCCTAAAAAATCACTGAATAATCTAAGGACATTTGTGACATTGTGTTAGACCCTTAGCATATTTGAGCCTGAGGTTGTTGAACTAGATGATTCTCAAGTTCCTAAACAGACCTGAGAGGGAAGGTGTCTAAAGCTTTGGTGTCACTCCATCCTGGGTCTGTTCTTTGCTAGCTGGGTGACTGGGCAAATTACTTACCCTCTCTGTGCCTAGCTCAATGAATTCTTGCATATGGCAGGGAAGGCCAACACATTGCCAGCCCCAGGGCATCCACTGACACTGCACTGCTGCATAAGTAGTATCTCCTCTGCTCCTTCAGTGCAGTCTGCAGGGCTATGTGCAAAAATCCTACAGTGAAATGTTACTATTTCTTTCTTAAAAGAAGGGTCATGACACATGCCAGAGCAAAGGGAAAGATGGAGC